CCTAAACCCTAAACCCTGAAAGGCTTAAGGGTTCATGTTAACGGCCTTAGACTGAAAGGGGCCTAGGGTGTAATGTAAGAGCCGAAATTATTACCAGTACTATTTTTTCTTTGGGGGGGGGGGGGGGNNTTATTCAGGCCCCTATATTAGGGTTAAGGGTTTAGGATTAAGGGTTGAGGCTTTAGGGCTTCGGGTTGTTGGGCTGAGGGTTTTTAGGGCTTAGGGCTTCGGTTTGTAGGGTTGAGGGCTTCCGGTGCCCTCGTTACTCAGGTCTGGGATGTTGGTACTTAGAGTTGTGGCTGGGGGAAAGGGTTTATGATTTTCGGGCTTCCGGCCTAGAGCTTAAGGTCTTCGGCTTCAAAGCTTACAGCCTTGGGCTTCGTGTTTAAGTAGACTTTCAGCCATGGTCGTGGTGTTAATGATACCAGCGCGGGTATCAACAGGAGGCGGGATTTGGAGTGATACCAACGCGCTTGCATATCAAACAGAACCGGCTTGAGGGTTCGGGGTTTAGGGCTTATAGGAGTGCGACGGTACATACCCATCGCAAGACAGTGGGCTAACAATGCTACCACCAATTCTACCAGAGCAGGCAGCCATATCTAATGGGAATCCCAGGCGACTCACTAGATAAATAGCATTCTTGTGCTTGGGCAAATATAACACCCCGGCCCCAACCTCCCCAGTCAAAGCATTTCGAGCAGGCACCACGGGAATATCCGCAGGGCCTGCAAAACTAGAATAGGGTTTAGGGTCATATTATACCAGCTTCCACCCAATACCTTCAGGTAAACAATTGAGACTACCCTCTAAACCCTACACCTGTCAACCGAAGTTACGTCAGCTTCTAGATATCGTGGGGCACTCTGCAACTATACAAACCCTAAGCCCTACACCTTAAACCCTGAACCTTAAATCCTAAACCCTAAACCTTAAACCCTAAACCTTAAACCCTAAACCCCAAACCCTAAACTACACCCAAGACCCCCGAACCCCGAAAGCCCCGGCCTCGGGTCTACCTGGACCCTGAGAGGCTCCGTGATCTGGGAGTTTCCGAAAATAAGGCGTTTACGGTTTAGGGTTTAACTAGGGTGTAGGGGTTTAGGGTTTAGGGTTTAGGGGTACCTTCGTGTTGGGCTCCTTATAAGAAGGATCCTTCTATTTAGGGTGCTATATTCGGGTCCCCTATTTTCGAAACCCCCCGCATGATTTTCCTACAGCGGTCCTTTAAAAGGTAGTATAGAGGCCTGCATAATTAGAACGGGGATATGGGTGGTTCCTGTAAAGAGTTCTGTAAAGGGTTCTATAAGGGCTACTACACGGGTTAAGGGTTTAGGGGCCTTAATGGTTTTAATAGGGTTNNGGGGGGGGGGGGTTCTTATTATAACTATAGTAGAATATACACCCCAAACCCTTTTTTAATTCGTAAGGACCCTACAATCGATGCTCTGGAACCCTAAACCCTAAACCCTAAACCCCAAGAGTTATGGTAGGGTTTCGGGGTCAGGGTTTAGGGCCTGCACCCGAGGCCCTGGGCCCTCAAGTCCTGGCCCCCAAACCATAAGCCCTTAGGTTTAGGGTTTAGGGTTTAGGGTTTAGGGTTTAGGGTTTAGGGTTTAGCCGTATATACACACCCGACCCCGACCCTGCAGCAATTGGGCGTGTTGTCGCGCCTTGCTGCCCCAGTTGTCTCCTCAAGCTCAGTTTAGGGTTTGGAGTGCGGGTTTGGGGGGCTTGACGAGACTACACCAAAAACGCTACAGCCTATATCCTGCAACCCTAGATCGGAAGAACCCGCCCTGTGAATGCCTGCGGGGTAGGGCGGGCAGGCCTTGGGGTTTAGCGCACCCGCAATTTGAGGACCAATAGGCAAGTCAATTAACAGCTATCCAAAATAAACCGTAAAGCCTGAACCCTAAAGCCCAAACCCTAA